TATATATATATATGTATATATGTATTATATATAATGTACATCATACAGACGTATATACTATAACACATATATATATACATATATATATATATACATACACACATATATATATATATGTATGTGTATAGATATATGTGTGTGTATGTATGCATATATATATATATATCTATCTGCATAGATGTGTATACATATATAAATATGTATGTATGGCCAAAAAGTTTAAAGCTCGCCCATGGGCCATGTAAGATATAGTAGAATATACCCAAGTGGTAAGACGTTTGCTCAGGTTTTTTGAATGTCGGAAGCCTCAAACAATGGCATGGAGCTAAGTAGGCTTTTTCGATTCCTTGCCTCTTACTTGGGATTACCCCACCTCGAAACCCGAAACCCTAAACCTTAGGGTTCAGGGTTTAGGGGTTCATCCCACCCGTGGAGTCCCTAAGTTATTAAGTCTCGTTGTTTAGATGGCGTGCGACAAGGCTTTCTATCCCGGGCAAGGACAAGCGAATGTGCCCCTAAACCCCAAACCCAAAAAAAAACCTAAACCCTAAACCCTAACCTCTCGGATTCGGGAATGGAATAGTATTACTAAGTGGGGTATACTGTGCCATATGTAGATGGGGACTATACGGGAACATTGCCACGACTTATTCCGATCCCTTGTCTACACAAAGCGACCCTGGCTCAGAGTTGGGATAGGAGGTAGTCACCACACTTTCCTGCAAATCGAACGACTTTGCCCCCCAAACCCATGAAGCCTGTGAAACCCCACATTCGCAGGCTTAGCTAAACGATCCCCGACCGGCAAACCCCAAATCCCTAAACCCTAAACCCACCCCAAACTAAACTGCAGACCCCTAGTCCAGGTAATATAGGGGCCTGGCTAATAAGAATAGGGTTTTGGGGGCTCCTTACTATAGTTACAGCATGATATACCCCCCAATCCCTATTCTAATTATCAAGGCCCCTGTCTTATGCATAACCCTAAACCCTAAACCCTAAACCGTGTCCTCGAAGCTCTCTCCTCCCATCACCTCTGAGGGCTTTGGGTTCTGGTTTCTGGGTTTTGGGTTTAGCCCTAAACCCTAAACCCTAAACCCTAAACCCTAAACCGTTTAGGGTTTAGGGTTTACGTTTCAAGGTAGGAACCTGATTAAGAAACCCGGGCCCTGCAACCCCAAAATATTAGCATCCATGTCAAGTTTAGGGTTTAGGGTTTAGGGTTTAGGGTTTAGGGTTTAGGGTTTAGGGTTTAAGAACCCTAGTAGGGCCAATTATCAGCCCTAAAACCTACACCCGAAACCGACGGTTCTAGCCAGGAGCTTTTGGGTTTGACGGCTTTAGGGTTTAGTGCTTAATGTAGGGCCTCCATAATTAGAATAGGCTTTTGGGCCCCTGTATGGACATATGGGGGTTTCCCAAAATAGGGACCCTAATATAGTACCCTAAATAATAGGATCCCTATTATAAGGACCCCAAAATAAGGTACCCCTAATTTTCTGAAACTCCCATATCAATGAACAAGAACCTAAGGAATACTATAGGTAATGATTTAGTCTAGGACATTTTCAAGTGGGTAGTTACCATTATAGGAGCCCTACAGAAGGCCTATATACCTTATAGAAGCCTTATAGAAGCCCTATATACTCTAAACTCCCCACCTGTAGTTTCCTTTAATTTAGGCTTCAAAGATTGGCTTTTTGCAGGGTTTGGTGTCAGCTGTGGAGCAAAGCAGGTTTGGCGGAGGATCTCTGCGAGTTCCATGTTGTTTTTTCTAAACCCCTGAATCCCCAAAGCCCTAAACCCTTAAACCCTAAACCCTAGAGCCCTAAACCCTAAAGCCCTAAACCTTAACCCTCGCCATGGCCCGCCTGCCCAGTGACGGGGATCGACACGCGTGCGTAGGCATCGCACTGTGCGATCAGCGCAAACGGGATGAGGCGACCAAGCATGACCTCGCTTTTGTAAATATCGTTTAGGGTACCCCAGGCCCTAAACCCCTAAACCCTACCTAAGACACTTGAACCTGTTCAACCCTAGCACAAGAACAGTACTGCTTCATCCACCGGGCTTCTGCAGCGGAGTGCAGGCGATTCGGAGCAGATGTCGAGGCTTCAAGGCGCGTTCTTGAGCCAGCCGAGGCCGCAAGAGTCAGCACTGCTTCATGAAACTCGACTACCGCTTCCGACCATCCCGGCCCTTCCCCCTCAACCCTAAACCCAAAACCTGAAGCCCTGAACCCAAACCCATACATCCTAAGCCCTAAAACCAAACTGTAAACCCTGAGCCCGAAACCCTAAACGCCCTAAGAACCCCAATTAAGGGTCATACCTTATTATGATGTCAGGTAGATTCCAAAACTAAGGGTTATACCCTATTATGAATTCAGGTAGATTGCTTAAATAGGAATTAAAGTAGATTCCTGAATTAAGGATTCTAACTTATCGTGCTTTCAAGTCGAGTCCTTAAGTAAGGGCTATACATTGTTATGATTTTAGGTAGATTCCTTAATTAAGGATTCTACCCCGTTATGATGTCACACGGAGTCCTTAATGCAGGATCCTACCTTCATATGATTTCAGCCACATTCCTGAAGAAAGGACTACCTCATCAGGAGTTCAGGTAGATTCGTCATTTAATTACTATAGTTACTATACCTTTTTGTGATGTCAGGTAGATTCCTTAATTAAGGGTTCTACCTTCTAGTCATGTCAGGTAGATTCAAGGGATATAACTATAATGATTTCTCAAACAGACCCCTTAGTTTTGGGTTATGCCTAATTGTAATTTCAGGTAGGTTCTGAATTAAGGATTCTACCTTATGATGATGTCAGGTAGATCCCTTAACCACGGGGTTTTTGGAGTTTGTGGGTACGAGTGGCCTCGTGCTTTCCCGTGCTTTCAGCCCTGGCCCCGTTTTGCGCGCATCCAAGTATATGTTCTCTTGTGCTTGAAGCCTTTGACCCGACGAGCCCCGAAACCACGTACCTACCTCCAAACCCCTAGGCCCACAACCACAGCGATTATCCTGAAACCCTAGGCCCCTCAACCATCAGCCCTAAACCCTAAACCCTAAACCCTAAACCCTAAAAAACAAATCCTTAGCATTGGCGTGCGGCGTGCACGCGGGGCGGCCACCGATCGACCGCATCTCGCGATTTCTTTCAATACAACACTATCCTAAGCCCCTAAACTCCAAAATTTGACTCCTGTCATGTTGTGGCAAGGTTGCATGACCAACATGGAAGCCACACAATGAAAACAAGAGCAAAAAGAACGTTCAGCCCTCATGATAATACCAAGAAGAAGAGATGACGATGGTGGTGCTGATGGATGAAAAATAATCTTCCACAGTTATACTGGGTTTAGGGTTTAGGGTTTAGGGTTTAGGGTTTAGGGTTTAGGATTTAGGGTTTAGGGTTTAGGGTTATCGCAGCATCAGCGCGCCGGGTGCACTGTTTCTCTGCTGCAGAACACCAGCTGCGACGCTCGGCCGATGTCTACACAGGAGGGCAATTTCCTCGGCTGAGTGTGGCGGTCATGTGGAACAACCAGCCGCTGAGCAAAAAGAGCTCGGCAGCGCAGCATCCGAATCACCTTGTAGGAATATCTTCATACTTCATTTCTGAATCAGCAACCCACTAGGTCTTCATACTAAAGAAACCATGGTAGTACTGGCACCGATAGTCGATGTAGTAACACTTCGCTCGATAATCCTCGTCATTACGGCATAGGGACCGCATCACCTATCATCTCCCTCATAGTCACCAGCATGACCATCATCATCATGATCACCATCATTTCATCACCATCAATATCATTATCCATTTCATCACATCAACATGACATCATGAGCATAAGCAAACTGCTACATCATCAGCGTCATCAGCAGCAGTAGAAGCACCATCATCTTCGTCCTCATCTCATACTTATCGTCGTTGTCAATATCAGACTTGCTCTGAACGAGCAAGGGCCTGAGTCAGCAGTGGCCGCAAAATGCTGAAAGCGACAGCAGTAGCAACAAGGGTAGTCACGCTTTTAAAACGGTGACCATAATAAAGGGTTTAGGGTTTAGGGTTTAGGTGACCATAATAAAGGAGAACAATCAAAAAATGCAATTCCTGTTGTCGCAGACACCAACTGAGGGGCCTGAAGAGTAGAGATCTGCGGTCAATTGTAGTATGCAGGACTAGAAGGGGAGATTTTTTGGAGTGGCTGTCGTGCCTGCGTGGATTTCGCAAGCCCAAATTCCTGCTTGCCAACGCTTGTGGACGCTGGTGGATGCTTCAGCAACGACTTCCGGTCAACCAGAGTCCCCAACACCTGCAAACTTCAATCGAGAACATAGGGTTTAGGGTTTAGGGTTTAGGGTTTAGGGTTTAGGGTTTAGGGTTTAGGGTTTAGGGGTCCGGAACAAGACGAGTCTTCATCACTGGTTGCTGTCATGATTTCGAGACAGTGCTAGCAATCAGACAGCTGTAGAAGTGACCGAAGTAAAGGGCACTGGGTTCAGACAGCTCCTCCTAATGGGTAATATCCCCCAGAAGGATCCATGAGAGAAGCCCAAACAAACAGACCCGCAAAAAGCAGCCGCTGTGCCACTCCCCTTGCGTCAACAAGCTTCTGAGCGCGTGGTATCCCAGGGTATCCGAGTTCAACCTGCAGCCGCGCATGGCGCAGTTTGCAATATCACAGAGACCACCACGACCACCACTCATCAAACCTCGGGTTCAAACAGCTCAGGGCTTTGTGGCTTGGGGCGTTGGTTAGGTGGGCTGGTCTTATGAGCATGATTGGTTTCCACCGCGCTTTCCTTCCCGAGGATTGTCTTCTTCGAACACTCAACATCATACTTGTTCTGCTGCTAGCCTTTTCCTGCTCGTAGTCTACCTTGTTCGTGGTTGTTTAATGATTTGGCTCCTCTTCTGTGAACCTCGTTTGTATTTGGTATTGCTGTAGCAGCACTGCGCAAGTAGATTTGTTCTCTGTCATGACTCTAGTTTGTGTAAACAACTCGCAGAATAACATGGAACAGCGCTGTTGATCTAATCTGCTTCTGATTGTATTCTTGCAGTATCACCAAGCTGTTCCTCATTATTTTAAACCAACTTGCTGCTAGATTGAAGCCCACCCGATAGTCCTGTAGCAGTTTCTGATGATGTTGCTGGCACGGCTTCTTGCCATACATATCGGCGTCCTACGATCTTCCAAGGCGCTTATTATCTTGCGGTTGCACGGGTTTAGGGTTTAGGGGCTTTGGGTTTAGGGCTTTCTCAGCCGTGCTGTTGGTGCAAACATCTGTCAGTCGAGGCTGGTGTTTAAGGTATCCGTGTGCTGGGGTCGAGGATAAAGACCGTCTGTTTTCATTTTAGTGCCGTGGCAGGAGCTTGAATGATGGAATGATGGTAATATGACTTTCTGCCAACACATAGGCCGATGCAAGAGTGCCAGTGCCAGGGCTACCGGTTGAAGCTTTCATGCTTTGGCTTATGCCGTACGGTCATGATTCATGATGTCTCTTGTCTGCAGGCAAGCTCTCTTCGGCACCAAAGGTGTGAAACACCCTACCCCTGTGAAATGCACTTTTGGTCATCCCAAAGCCAATGTAAAGGCCCGGTTCACCTGGCTGCTTTTTGGCTTCAGATTATGTTCACCTCCAACCCCACAGCCTAAAGAAAAGGTGCCAGCAACCAATCGCTTGCATTAGTCGCCCAGAGTACTTCGAGAGACAATCAGAGCACCGGTTGGGGGTTTATGGCTTGAACATCCACGCTCCCAATACAGGGTTTCGAACGTTTAGGGGTTTGGGGTTTAGGGTTTAGGGTTCCGAACGCGATAACAAGTAGAAACGCATGACCACCACATTGTCACAAACAGCAAACGAACTCTTCAAACTGCATGTCATGCTTGTGCAGAGCATACACAGGCTGTGCAAGTACAGTATCATCTACGCGTCCGAACAAACATAAACATGTTTGACAAACACTGCTAACCGACAACTGGGTTCTTGTTAAGGGATTTAATTTAAGTTACCATAATAGGGAAACCATATTTACTATAGATCCCTATTATGGTAACTTAAATTAAATCCCTTAACAAGAACCCAGACAAAGTGATGTTCACGGTCAGGGTGCACTTGGCTGCAGCATGAAGCCTCATGCCGTCGACGATCGCTTGGGAAACGTTGCCGACCTCGCTCCGTCTGTCAAATCGTAGCTTCGGGTTTAAGAACTTGGGTTTAGGGTTTAGGGCTTCAGAGCTTTTGGGCTTAGGATTTTTAGGGCTTTGAGTTTTAGGATTGAGCTGCTAGGCTTCTGGCTCAGGACTTCCCGCTGTGGACTTTTTGCAGCGGGAACAAAGCGATCCTGCACGGTTACACTGTTTAGGGTTTAGGGTTTAGGGAAGTTACAAGCACAGAATGTGCAGCTCCCACGCTAAAAACCAAGTGTAAGGCCTTATGTTTCCGTACAGGCTGAGGGGAGATGATAGCCAATCGCTCAGCCCCGTACACTACCCAAGTGTCGTCTTTGAAAAACTATGTAGAATTCCTGATGCCTCTGTTTCCGCGTAAGGCTTTACATGAGCCATTACCGAAACTCGCAATCATGATCGAACAAGCCCTTCTCAAACCGTTTAAATACACCGTTGCCTGCAGTTCCACATGGTGCAAGAGCTACATTGAGGTTTATGTCCGCAAAATTTTGGAAATATTAACCCCAAAATCGATGACAAGGCACCAACAACACAGCCGCATCGCAGAATGACGCAAGACTCCAATAATGAGCCCGAATCCCAGGGCGCTTGATTTTTGCCCCATGATCTGAGGAACTGGGATCTTGGGCGCTGGATGAAGTGAACACGACGAATCTTGCGAAAAGGCTGCGGCCCGGACGCCTGAAAAGCCGAAGCCGCAATCCTTTACGCCCCGGATCCCCTAAACCTTAAAGCCCCTGATCCCCTGATCCCTACACCCCAAATCATATGGGTTTAGGGTTTAGGGTTTAGGGTTTAGGGTTTAGCGTTTAGGGTTTGGGGTTTAGGGTTTAGGGTTTAGGGTTTAGGGTTTAGGGGCGTGTTTTCCTAAGACTTTTCTGGCCGAGGCCTCGGAAGCCATCATTTTCGCGAGCTGCGCGCTGTCGTGGTCGTTCTCCTCGGTTCGGCCGTGAGGTACTTGGAGGTTCATGGGTAGTTATAAGTGGGGTTATAAGTAGGGTAACTGTAATTATAACCCATTTTAGGGTACTTATAACCCTGCTTATAACTACCCATGAACCTCCAAGTAGATCCCTCACTAGTAAACCCCTCGCCCTCAATTAGGGTTTAGGAAACAGAGGGCGTTTATCCATCGGGGGTGCGCATGGGTAGTTCTCTAAAATAGGGAGGGTCCGTCTTTAGGTCCCGAATATAATACGGCACCCTGATAATAATGACCCTAAAAGGGACCCTAATTTAGAGAACTACCAACATAAATCAGGAGAGTCGAGCTGGAGGCCGCTTGCGAGCGTCTTTCATGTCCTATGCGCACAGGGGTAGCCCTTCTTCATGACCCTTTCGAGGCAGACATCATATGGGGGCCTGCATAATTCGGGTAGGGTTTTGGGTGTACAATAAAAGTAAAAGCGTAATCATGAACCCTAGGGGATAGTTGATAATGTTGGTGATTACAGTGGTTGAAGCAAGCTTCATCGAACATCATCTGCATTGAGATCCCGCGGTAGTTGGGCACGGCTTGCTCCAGGCTTCGACACGCAGCGGCAGAGACCTGCTCTTGATCTAGGCGCTCCAAACGGACATCGACGTGGCCCTGAAGCTTTCTGCGCGCTGTCAGCACCCTTCACAAGATACAGAAACAGTTGAAGGCCAAAGCAAGCTCCGAAGCCTCTTGGGCAAGGGTTGGCATTTTGCGCACCAAGCTCGTTGGCGGTTGAGGGTTCGGGTTTGGGAACGGTTTAAGATTGTGCAAACTGTTTGCAACTGGTATTCCAGGAAAACCGTGTGCCGGAAGCGGTCCTACTAAGTTCACTGTTGGTTCATATAAGGCACCCGTCGTTGTACTGAGCGACAGAAATTCATAACCTCATTGCAGAATCGGACGGCCCCCTGAACCAAGCAACTGGGGGAAACTTTGGGATTCAGAGCTTAGGGTTTAGGGTTTAGGGTTTAGGGTTTTAGGGTTGAGGGTTTTAGGGTGTAGGGTGCAGGATTTAGGGTTTAGGGTTCCTGCTTTGAAGCGCGCATGAGGCTCAGGGATCCATGGTGAGCGTTTTTCATCCGCAACAACCAAAACGCTAAACCCATGCAAAACCCGTGGAAAGTCCCAAAAAGCCTTTGTAAGCTCTTATATAGAACCCTACAAAGCCTTATCAAATCCTGACATCGCTTCATAAACACTACAACACAAAACCCTTTCATCCGCAAGAACGGTGGTTAAAAAAAGCACCAAACCCTAAGCCCTAAACCCTAACCGTGAGCTCCCGCATCTGACGGTTGCAGGACCCTGCTAGCAATGAAAGTCGCGGAAGCTGCAGAGGGTTCCTCAAAGGGGACCCTCTTATAGTATCCTATAGTACCCTTGAAAAAAGGGGACCCTATTAAAGTACCCTATCGTACCTTTTAGAGGGGACCCTATTAGAGTAATCTATAGTACCCTTTAAAGGGGACCCTGTTAGAGTACCCTTGAAAGGGGACCCTAGTATAGTACCCTTTTGTACCCTTTAGAGGTTCAGGCTCCTTTCAAGGATCCTTGAGGGGCTCCTCAACGGGGTTCTGTAGAGGGTTTGCATAGATCTGCAAGCTCGCGTCTAGGCCTGCGGGGTTTGGTGATTCGGGGTCTAGGGCTTAGGATTCAGGTACAGAGTTTGTAGAAGTTGGGTTTTAGGATTTAGGGTTTGCCGCCTCTGACAAATACGTGTAGTTGTTCACTGCGGCTTCCCTGTCCAGGTCGTACCAGCCGTTTACCCAGCAATACACATCATCCAGCGGGTAGTGCCTCGGCTCCCCAGAATCCCGTCAAAAATGCGGGCAACCTTTTCCCTGTTACTCAGCTTTACGAAGGAAACCTCGAAAAAATCGAGTAAAAGGCTACTAATGAAGGATCCCAAGCCCTTGAGGAACCTGCATAAAGCCCCGAAGAGCACTTGTGAACAAGGTAAAAGGGTACTACTGGGGAGAAATTCGTAGCAGCATCCCCTTGCTTGGATTTACACCTTTACACACACATTTATATAATATATACATATGTATATACATATAGATATGAATACATATACATACAAGCCTGTTTACTTATTCCTGCATGTCCTACTATTAATGCTTATTATGTGAGAAACCCGCGCTCCTATTTCTGCTGATTGAGGGCCCCCATACTAACTAAACCCCCGCATAGACCCTTTACAGGAACTTATTCTGGTTCTAATCATGCACGCCCCTATACTAAAGAACCATTCCTTTTCGAGGCCCCCTAAACCCTAAACCCTAAACCCTCAAAAGAGCCCCTAAGAGAACCCCATGCAAATAGTCAAGGCCAATACCACGACTGCAGAAGCAAGATGCTTGTCCCGGATGGCGAGACTGCGGCCGTCGGGCAGCCTGGCAGAAACAAAGAGCCTCCTGATGGCCCAGATGTTTAAAAGGTTTCGAGCTTTAGGGCGTAAGATTAAGGGTTCCGGGGTTAAGGGTTTATTTAGGTTTTAGGGTTTAGGGCTTAGGGCTTTTGGGGTGTGGGCTATTCCCGAGATTCTGTCGGTGCTTAAAATTGATTTTTGTTGATCCTCAGTGTTGTTCTCGGTTGACGACCATCGCTGTCAAGAAAAACTTTCCATGGAATTGTGTTCAACGGGTGTTTCTGAGAAAGCTGCCCGCAGCAGGTTTCCCAAAACCCGTTTGGAAGTAAAACCGGCTCCAATCAAAAAGGCGCCTTAAGGGGGTACGCTGGCACAACAAGGAACCCTAAGGAATGCCATTGGTAATCATGCTCGTCCACTATTTTAACGCTTAGCTGCCTGGGTGCAGGCTTTATCCTGGACTGAGGACCCGCTAAAGCGGGAAAAAGATACACTTGTCAGCTTGACCACGTGAATCCACTAAAGGGTCAGAAAAACTCGGGCACTGTGGCTTCGGGGTTTGGGATTTAGGGCTACCACTGCACATCTTGAGATGTCATCACCGATGGCGCCACGCACATGCAAGCTGGTGGACCCTAAACCCTAAACCCTAAACCCTAAACCCTAAAACCCTAAACCGATTATACGCTGGCACAGGCTGCAGCCTGATGTGCTATGACCAAAACCTACTTGGAGGCTCATGGCTAGCTGTAAGCAGGGTTATAAGTACCCTAAAATGGGTTATAATTACAGTTACCCTACTTATAACCCCACTTATAACTACCCGTGAACCTCCAAGTATCAGCAAGAATAACTTTCCCAACCCTGGAATGCCCTTATAAAACTCTTTCAGGAACCTTACACCCTAGACCCTAAGCCCTAGACCTTAAACCCTAAACCCTACACTCTAAATACTAAGCCCTGAACCTTAAACCCTTAACCCTAACCCTAAACCCAACCCGAAACCCGAAGCCCGGAGGCCTCAGGGTCGTCGACGTATTATACCGCGGTATGATTAAGTCCTGAGGCTGGGTTGCTGTTCAGGAACTTCACTGAAGTTACTATCATTTGGGGTTCCTGTAAGGGTTCTATAGGGATTTAGGGTTTAAGAACAAGGAACTTAAATCAAGTTGAATACTAGATATCCTCACTATGGTAAGTTAAATATAAATTAACTAGATATCCTCATTATGGTAACTTCGAAGAAAAATCCTCCTTAACAGCACCCTAACCCGAATAGAGTTAGTGATGACCATTTCCAT